GCGTCGCAGGTCTGGGCTCCGCGGCACTCCGCCTGGTTGAAACCCCTCCCTGCGAGGTTGCCACGGCGTGGCAACGATGTTCACGACGTCTTCGACGACTCGATCGGGATTGTTCGGGGTGGCGCGCAAGCAGCCCCTGGAGGCATAGCGCCGCGCTTAGCCTCAGCAGGCCCCCGGGATGGTCCGAGTCGTTCTCCACACGCCCGCGCCGCCCCTGGCAGAACCCTTGCAGCATATAATACAACGCTCCGCGCCCCGAATTTGGGATGCTGAGACCGACTGCCCTATGGTGGCCTGTCGAGGCCAGTCTGCCGCGTCCTCGGGATATCTTTGTGCGCTGCCCTAAGCCTCGCGGACAATCAGCGACGTGACGAAAGCATCATCTGTGTGAGCGGTGTGTGTGTTATGTGTACTGTGTGACATGTGTGCGTGTGCGTGTGTGCGCATGCGTGCGTGTGTGTGGTGCGTTTCTTTTTGTTTGTGTGTGTGTGTGTGTCTGTGCGTCTATGTGTGTATGTGCGCGCGTGTGTGTGTGATCTGCGTGTGTGTGTGTGGGTGGTGTGAGATGCGTGTGTGTGTCTGTGTGTGCGATGTTTGCATGTGTGGGTTTATGCCTGTGTGTGTGTCTGTGTGTCTGTATGTCTGAGTGTGTGTGTGTATGTGTGGGTGTGTCTCTAAGTGTCGATGCATGTCTCTGTGGTGAGTGAGTGAGTGTGCCTGTGCATGTCTGGTGTGTGTGTGCGTGTGATTTGTGTGTGTGTCTGTGTGTGTGTTTCTGTGTCTATCTGTCTGCGCGCGTCTGTGTCTAATCAAGGTGTGTATGTGTGTGTGTGTGTCTGTGTGTAAGGTTGTGAGTGTGTGAGTGTGTGCGTGTGTTTGTGTGTGTTCGTTCGATGCTTCCCGGGCCAACCTTTCCGCGAGATCCTCGGGGGGTACACCTCTTAATCGGTGCGCGTGCGGAGCAGATCCCCAGCATCGACGGGGGAAGCCTTGTACCGCGCCTCCCCCGCTCCTAGGCGCCGTGCCGCCGTCGACGCGGATCTGCCGAAAGACGCACCAGTCCCGCGATCGCGCCCCCAGGAGCCCAACTAAGAACCCACTGTGTCGTCGTCGACGCCGCAGACACGCAACAATCTGATATAAATCAGGACGGGAGGTTTTTGGCCGTATTCGGCCCATGGGGGCCCTTACCCGGGCTCCAGGACCGACAGAACACGACTCGCGATGAAAAACCGGCACCGGGGAATGTGTCGGGACTTCCGGTGGCCGCGCATTGAACAAATCTGCATGTCACATGCCTGGGACAGTGTCCAGGGCGTCCAGGGGGGGGGGCAGAGGCGAGGGGGGGGCCATGATATCTCCTTGGCTTTCCTGGACTTCTTCTTCTTCTTCTTCTTCTTCTTTCAATGTGTCCTTGGCCCTCCCTCCTTCCCGTCCGCGCACATGCCTCGGGCCACGATGCTCGCCCGCCCCCCTCCTCAGCCCCCCTCTTGGGCGGACCTGGCCTTGGTCGCGTCGACCTCAACCCAACTGAGCCGCTTAGGCTCAGGTCGCGCAGGGTTCGCGAGCTCCCCCAGATCATCCGAGACCAGCAGTAACGGATTCCGGTCGCGCCGTATTTCGGTCGCGTCCAGAGGGGGCCGGATCTCGATAACGAAGATACGGCGCGTCGGGGTCCGAACGAGAGTCTCAAGGACGTCGACGGCTCGCTCGTCGAGAGACTTCGCGACTGGAGGCCGAATTTCGGTAGCGACCTGTTCGTCCAGACCGTTACTGGAAGTTTTCGGCCCCAGGCATCCAGCTGTCCAACGTTTTCGATGCGTGGACCCCCAGAGGTCTGGATCCCCCCCCGGGGTCAGTTTTCCATCCTGAGTCGTTTGTTGACGGTCCCGTGGCCCATAATTGCCAGAAGCCGGCCGCTGCAATTCTTTCGGAGCCTCGTCGACTAGACGTAAGAGTGACCTTTCGCCAGAGTGGCCTTTGATGCGGGCACAGATGGGTCCCCAGATGGCTGAAAGAGAAGCGGTAGCAGCGGCTTGCGCGCTCGTGTTTGGCCCCCCCGCGGTCACAAAAAGCCGCGCACCAAAGGTCACTCTTATACCCAGGGTCACTCCTGCGTGTAGCCGACCTCGGAGTTCTGGGGCAACGGATGATCTGGGCCTCCGCGGCCCGGGCCCGCGCCCGGGGTTGCCCGGCCGGCGCCGGCTCCCGGCATGGAGCTGGCGGCCGCGGTGCCTGGCGGGCGGCGGGGCCTTCTGGCGGCAGCGGCGCTGGCGGCGGCGCAGGTGTCCGAGGCGGGAATTTGTCCACATCGACCGCCTGGAGGGTTAGTTTTCGGAGCCTCGGCAGGCGGTGGGTATGGACATTTTCGGGGTCCCGGGGGCCGAAATATATCCATATCCACCGCCCGCTGGGGCACCAGGGCGTCGGTTCCCAGGCGGTGGATGTGGATAACTCCCTGCCTCGCAAGCTGGGGGGGGGGGGGCAGACCTGCGCTGATGCGGTGGGGGCGTTGGTTGGGGACTGTGGCCCAGGAGGCATCAGACCTTGGAGGAGGCTGGGGAATGTGGCCCAGGAGGCATCAGACCTTGGAGGAGGCTGGGGAATGTGACCCAGGAGGCATCAGACCTTGGAGGAGGCCTTATCTGACGAGGGAGGCGTCGATATCCGATATCCATGCCGCGATTGGAGTTACACTGGCTTCCGTTCCACCGGGGGACCAGCGTGCGGTCGGGATATTTGGTTCACTTAGCGTGTCGCTCCGCCAGTTCGGGCCAACTACGCTGCCGCGCGAAACGCTTTCCACTCCTCGAAGAAATAACAACATGAATAAACATTAAGCTTTCGGCGCTCCGCGCGGACTTCTCGGACCTGCGCTGGGCCCCCTGAACGCGCCTGTGGCGCCGCCCCTGGCGCGCTCCGCGCGCCAGGGACGGGAGTCCAGCGCGGATCCAAGATTTCCGCGCGGACCTCCAGCTGTTTACGTTTATGTCGTTGTTGCCCTCTAACTTCTCCACATCCAAGCGGCAAAATTCCGAGCTGTTCCGAGCCTCCCGATCCGCGGAGAGGAGCGACACGCCATCCGCTTGCAAGGGATACCGTGTCGCAGGGGCCGCCGCCGCGACTCGCTAAGCAAACATTCCCGACCTTCGCCCGGTCCTCCGCCGATTGGACTTGCTATCCATGGCTGTCGTGTCTCGGGGCCGGCCAAGAGGAGGGTGATGACGATCGACAGGGAGAGAACGGCATAAACATAAACTGTCGGAGCCCCGCACCGATTTCTTGGCTTGGCGCCGGAACCCCATTCCTGGCGTGCGGAGCGCGGCGGGGGCGGCGCCAAGGCGCCGCCAGGAGGGCCACGCACCGGTCCACGAAGCCCGCGCGGAGTTCCGAAAGTGTATGTCTATGCAGTTTGTCGCTCCTCTGAACCAGGGGTCCAGGGGGGGGTGGATATCATGGCCGGGGCCATGATGTCTCCCAGATTTCTTCATGGCCCGCTGTATCGTATATCAATGCGCCCCCTGGCCCCCCCCCTCCACCGCGCACATGCCTCTGGCCATGACTTGTGAACCCCCCTCTTGGATCCCCTCACTTGGACTCCCTCGGATTTTCCCTCCGTGTCGACCTCCAGGAGTGTTCACGGGCCCCGGGAGCAACAGAACTGGAACTGGAACGCGAGCTACCCGAGTGGAGGAGAGCGGGAACCCTGGAGCCTCAGATCGAACATTCCAGAGATCCGACGCTCCGAACAAACATGGTGCAGCAGGTTTTTGGCCGTATTCGGCCTCCTGAGGCCCTCGCCAGGCCTCGGGACCGTCAAACAACGACTCAGGACGAAACACTGGCCCTGGGAAAGTGGTCCAGACCTCCCGGGGCCCAAGCATCACATAAAGATAGAGTGGTGGGATCTCTGGGACAACCAGATGGGGGATGTTCAGGCCAGGCTTTGCCTCAGCCTTAGCCCTTGGCCTGTGGGGCTCTGCTTCGGGCCCCGCGGCGGGTCAGTGTCGACATGGGGCGAAACGCCGAAGAGGATGGACGCCGAAACGGGCCTAGGGTACAATTTAGATTGGATGCCGGGGCCCAGAGGGGCAGGAGCAACTATATTTGGATCGGCGCGGGGGTTGCGAAGGGAATGGGGGTGTTACAGGTGGCTTTGTAGGGTGCTAGGGTGGGATACATATGACCCAACCTAGCTTAGCAGTGGGGGTTACAAGTGCCATTAGCGGCTTAGGGGGCTGGGCGGAGCCCACTTAGCCTGGATCGTTACCCCCCAGTCCTTTTATAGCATTTGGAATCCACTTATCAGCTAGGTTAGGTCATTTGTAACCCACCATAGCATCCACTCAGAACTTCCCTTGATCCCTTCAGAGCACCCCGCGACGATTTTAAGTACCGATACCGAAGCTGTTCTCCTCGTTGTTGTTCCACTTTCTGGGCCTCTCGCTCGTGACCACGACGAGGGCCCCCACGGGACAGCAATGCACTGTCCGCGTGCAGGGTGCAGCCTTTCGCGAGGCCGCCGCCGCGACTCGCTGAGCAAAGGTCCCGAACATCCAGTTGGCTCGTCCAGTAAGACACAGGCCTGCCAGCAGGTGCCTTCGGTAGTAAGTCATGTGAGCCTTGTATGCCCGCGTCATTGAGTCTGTAGCGTGCGCTAGCGTCTGGTAATCGATGCAAGGGACCGAACTAGCGTCGATCCGCGTCGATTTAGTGTCGATTAGCGCCATGTGGAGTCGGTTAGCACCGATTCGCAGGAGCCAGCAAGATGGTGTGGGAGGCTCCGATGAGTTGCTACCGAAGGTGCCCTTCGGAAGTTTCTTGTCACCCAATGGCCCTGGAGGCCCACAGAAGCTCTGGGGCACCTTAGGACGCTCAGGCCTCGACGAAGAATGTGCCCAAGATGTGTTATAGCATGATTTCTTATCGCGTATGTGGTGACAGCATGACGTTTTTTGTTGTTCCTCCTCACGCAGGCGCTCCGGGTGGTGGTCCGGGAGGGGCTCGCCGGGCCGCTGGCCGTGAGGTTGCTCATCCTCGCCCTGCGCTGCGTGGCGCCCGCCGCCGCCCTGGTCACGGGCCGGAACGTGCTGGGCGTGGTGCTCAGCATCGTTTAACCTGCCCCCATCCCCATTGGGCCATGGATATCTCAGCCCCACAGCCCATCTTCCTAGGTGGGGGCATGCCCCACGAGACCCGAGGGAACATGCATTTCCAGCTGCCTCCTGCAATATTAGACGCTTCGCGTAAACCCCGGAGCCCATCCAGAAACGATGCCCAGACGAGTTGCCCTGATCCGCGGAGTGGAGGAACACAGTGGAATGAAAGGCTGGGTAAGACGTCGTGCCCCAAGAGGACGAAAAACCAGAGAAGGAGCAAAAGGGAGGAGGAGTAGGGATAGGGGAGGGAGGAGGGACGAGGAAGGAGGAGGAACATGCGGATGAGGAAGAGGAGGAGCAGGAGGAGCCGGAGGAGGAGGAGGAGGAGGAGGAGGGCAGCCCGAGTGCGAGCTGGAGCCTCGGGCCTTAGTGCTCCGCCACGGCGCGCTGCCGCCCGTCCCAGCGGCCCCCGCCGCTGCGCCGGCCGCGGGGAGCCTCCTCGCCGCGGGCAGCCCCGAGGTGGCTGCGCTGCAGACGGCCCGCGGGCGGCTTTACCAGAGACTCCGCGCTCTCCGCGCGGCGGGCCTCGACAAGCACGTGGCGGTGACCCTCCTGCGCACCAGGACGGGCTCTGACTACACTTTCCTGGCGCGCACCTGCGGACTCCCGAGCGAGGAAGCGCGGGCTCTGGACCGGGCGCTGGCCGCAGAGTACGAGCACGCCCTGGGCGAGGCGCTGGGCGACACCGCTTGCCGGAAACTCTTCCTCGCTGGCGCGGCCGGGGGCGAAGGGCTGCAGAGCGCGGAGCTCACGGCCCCCGCGGCGCACGCCGCCTCTTGGCACCTCTGCTTGCCGCACTGCCTGCGGCGGCTGGGCCTGGAGAGCGCCAGCGCCTTGACCGCGGTGAGCCCCTGGGCGCGCCGCAGCCTGCCGGCGGCCACAGCGACGCTCCGGGCCGCTCTGGGAGACGACACCGCCCACGTGGGCGACGAGGCACTGGTAGCAACGCAGCACACTGGCTACGGCCCCCCTCGCTGCGGCTGCCCGCCTCGCTGCCGACGAAGCGGCCGCGGACCCCCTGGCGGCGGCCGCCCTGCGCTCCGCTGGGGGCCCCGGGGCGGGCGCGCTCCTGCAGGTGCCGACGCTGCCCTGCCACCGACTGACCAACGCGCAGTTCGACATTGCGCTGCGGCACCGGCTGCACCTCGACCTGCCGGGCTGCACAGGCCCCCCGCTGGAGGCGGGCGCAGCGGGGCCGCGACAGCCGAGGCTCTGCCAGCACCGGCACCCGCACGGCGGGATCTGCGGCGAGCCGCGGGGCCCCAAGGGGCGGCACGCGCGCGGCTGCGCCGTGGGCGGGTGGCTGGTCCGCCGCCACGACGCGGGCTGCGCGGCTCTCGCGGAGTGGTGCGAGGAGCAGGGGTGCACCGTGCACCGCGAAGTCCTGCTCCCCCACGCTGCGCCCGCGAGCCCCGAGGCGCGGATGGACCTCGTCGTCCACGCCCCGCGCCTTGCTGAGCCGCTCATGGTCGACCTGACCGTGGTGAGCGCGCTCGCGCAGGACGCGCTCGGGCTCGGCTCTGCGCGGCGGGACGGCGCGGCGGCGGCGGCTGCGGCGCGGCGCAAGCGGGCCCGCTACCCCGGGGTGGCCGTGGTGCCCTTCGTGGTCGAGGACCACGGCCGCCTGGGCGAGGAGGCGCTGGCCCTGACGCGGCTGCTGGCGCCCGCGCAAGACACGGAGCGCTCGGCGGCCATCCGGCGACTGCACCAGTCGCTCGGGTGCGTCCTCCAGCGCAACGCCGCCGACGCGGTGCTGGCGGCGACGCAAGCGCAGGGCTGGGCCGCCGGCGCCCGGCGCGGGAACCCCGGAGGGGGCTGAGCTGCCTGCTGACGGACCTGCGCTACGGGCGCCCCGCTGCCGCTGGGCAGGCCGCTGACGCCGTGGGCCACGCCCGAGCCGCGCGCGCGCAGGCGCCGAGCTGACGGCGCCGCCCGCCGGGCGTGCGGCGGCGCCGCGCTGGACCGACGGCGGGGCGCGGGCAGGGCGGCGCTGCGGCGGCCGCGCGGAGCTGAGCGCTCGACTGGCAGGGGCGCTGGCGGGCGCGGCGCTGCTGCCGCTGCTGCCCCCGCGGGGGGCGGCGCTGGGGAGACGCGCCGCCGCGGCTGGGGCGGGCAGGGCTGGGTGCGCAGCGGCCGCGGGGCCCAAGGCGCCGAACCACCAGGGCCCGACGGCGGCCGGGGGGCGCAGAGCTGCGGACGGCGCCGGGGGCGGGCGACCGGCGCTCGCGCTCGGCCACGCCATGCTGTCCGTCGGCGCCAAGCTCCCGTGTAAGCGAGGTATAGGCCCCGGTCGGCGCACCCCCTCGGCTCTGAGGCTTGCATGCCGCTGAGCGGTGTGCTTGTCCTGGGGTTGGGGGGCTGCGCCGGCTCCCGACCACAGTGCTTCCGGCGCGCGGCAGACCCGCGTCCGCCGGTGGAGGAGGAGGAGGAGGAGGAGGAGGGGGAGGAAGAGGAGGAGGAGGAAGAGGAGGAGGAGGAGGAGGAGGAGGAGGGCGAGCAGAAAGGCCAGAGGCCTCTTGGATGCCTCTCTGAGTCTCTTCGGGTTTCTTTTGGGAGCATCTTGGAGTCCTCTTGGGGCGTCTTAGGGGTCTCTTGGCAGTCCCGGGGGCCTAATGGGGCGTCGTGGGTGTATTTGGGGGGCCTCTTGGAGCCTCTTGGGGTCTCTTGGGAGCCTCTTGGGGGCCTCTTGGGGGCCTCTTGTGGGGCCGTCTTCGGGCACCCTTGGGGCCTCGGGGGCCAGGATGCAGGCATCCTGCTGCTGTGCACCCACCGACCTCCTCCCGCCCCCCGCCCGCGGCCCTTCCACCGACGGCGGCGGCTTCGGCGACGGCGGCGGCCCCGGGGACGGCCCCCGCCAGAGCGACGCGACGGCGACCCCAGCCCCAGCGGCGACGACAGGGCGGCCCCCGAATCGCGACCCCGGCCCTGGCGCCCACGTGGCGGTTCCACCTCCGCCGAAGCGACGTCGGCATTGCAGCCCTCGGCGGCCCGACGGTGACCCTGGCTCCGGCGAGGCGACGGCGGCCCTCCCCAGCCAGCCTGCCCCCTCCGGCCGCTCAGCGGCGAACGCGGCCCCGGCGGCGAGGCGGAGGCTCCAGAGACGACACGGCGGCCTCGGCACGGGTGAAGAAGCGGCGGCCCTGGCGACGTGGCAGCGACCCGGCTCGCGTCGGCGACTCCCTTCCGCCCCCCGCCGGTTCCCTCCGTGGTGGTGGTGGTGGTTTCAGTGGTGTGGTTGGTCGCGCCGTCCCGGTCTCAGTCTGCAGGAGGAGCCTTTTCTCCTGCACTTTCCTCCTGCCCCCTGACAGGATCGCGGCTTCTGCTCGGGCGGAACAGTTCCAGGGCCCCTTGCCGGAGCTGACTGGCGGAGGATTCACTTTTTTCGTATTTTCAGCGGCCAGGACACAGGCATCCTGCTGCTGTGCACCCGGCGCGGAGCCTCGGGGGCAAATGGGGCCATCTTCAAATGTTACCCAAACCGTAATTCGTTAAATTAGCGATGGCCATCTCGCCAAGGCCTCTTGGGGCGTCGTGGGTGCATCTGGGAGGCGTCTTGGAGAACTCGTGGGGGCCTCTTGGGGGCATTTTGGGGGCCTCTTGGAGGTCTCCTGGGCACCTCTTGGGGCACTCTTGGGGCACCCTTGGGAGCCTCGGGGGTCTTCTTGGAACCATCTTGGAGGAGATCGATCAAAGAAGGGGGACTCCTTAGATACTTAGGGCCCCGCCAGGAAACCAAAGTGTGGCCAAAGCCTTTCTGTGCGATCATGGCTTCCTCACCGACGCCGTCTTGGACGCTCCAGCGTCTCGCGACCGCCCCCCCGTCCAGACCCAGGTGGAGGGGTAATCCGATAGCCCTTATAACGGCGACGATGGAACACAGTGCCGGGGAACTGCTTTGAACATCACCAGTCGTTCAAAGCAGTGCCCCGGCACTGCTTTGAACGATGCGGAAATGCGATCAGCAGGAGCCTTCGTCTGTTCCTTCTCCTCTTCTCGTCGCTGTATGCTCTTCCTTGTCCTCCCTCCTCCCCCGTTCCCTCTCTAATTAATTACCTCGTTCTCCCAGTCTCACGCGCACTCTTCCTCCCCCCTCTCCTCCTCCTCTTCCTGCTTCTCCTCCTCGTCCTCCTCCTCCTCCGCCTCCTCCCCCTCATTTGTTATATTTCTCCGTCCTTGTCCTCCTGTCCCCGTTCTCCTTCTCCCTCTCCTCCTCCTCCTCCTCCTCGTCGTCGTCGTCCTCCTCCTCTTCCTCCTCCTCCTCCTCCTCCTCCTCCTCTTCCTCCCTCCTCCTCCTCCTCCTCCTCCTCCTCCCTTCTTCCTCCTCCTCCTCCTCCCCCTTTTCCTCTCCCTCCTCCTCCTCCTCCTCCTCCTCCCCCTTCCCCCTCTTCCTCCTCTGCTATCACTCCTCCATAATTCCTGTCCGCTCCTCCCCTTCACTGATCTTCCTCTTCGTCATCATCATCCCTTTCGTCGCACGCCTCTTAATCCTCAATCGGTTCCCAATCTTCTCGACTTTCTTGTCATCCGCGTCCTTGGCTGTTGGAGGGGCCTCAGGAATTCTCAGGGCTCTTGTGTTGCACGCGAAGGCACACCTCCCAGGAACGCATCATCCTCCTCACATTCACCCTCCTCCTCCTCATCCTCCTCCTCCATGCACGTTCGGCTCAAGCCCGCGCCGACGGTAGGTTTCACGGCGGTTGGGCGGGCTCGCGCCCGCCTCCGCGGCCTGCAGTCGGGGCAGAGATGCGTGCAGGGTGGGATGACAAAGCGGAAGAGGAAACACGGGCCGCAGTTGCGGATTCTTCAAAGAGCAGCGGCGGCGGTTGGGGAACAAGTGGGGGTTGGGGCGGCCGCAGTGGCGGATACGGCGGCGGAGGTGACCGCAGTGGCGGCTGGGGCGGCGGAGATTCTCTTGGCGGATGGAGAGGAAAAGCGCAGGA